TGTGAGGTCCCGCACGGTCCTAGGGCTCTTTCTCCCCTTCTCAGCACCAAGCTAAGTCAGGCTCTCCAGTTCCACACCAGGCTGGCTGAGAAGCGAGCACTGAGGCATCGCTGGGTGCATGGGACTTTGCTAGACCCTTGGGGGAGGAAGAGGCAAGAAGATTTGAGCCTCACCCTCCAAGAGCAGAAGTACACACACTGCCGCTTTTTCTCCCCAGCACACTGCTATTCATACTTCAAACAAGAGTTTAGAAGTCATCTCTGTGAAGCCTTCCCTGACCTCTCCAGATGGAATCATTTACTCACACTTCCGGTATCCTACTGCAATCTCTTTCCCCATCTGCTAGAATACTTTGAATGAATGGAACGGAGCTCCATACAAATTGCGGCAGAGCCAACGGCTAGATTTAGTCTAATCCAGGGATTCTCAGCCACTTTTCTGCTGGGCAGATGCATATTACAGAAGATGCTCACGTTCGCGGCGCCCTCCAGTGAATTGATGAAACAAAAAGGAGGAGGGAAGGGGCAAGGTAGAAGCAATGGGAACAAACCATCGCATTAATTTCTAATGCCTCAGCTGGGATCGGGATCTGCTGGTCACTGTGAGCGGCCGTGGACAAGCGAGGCTTGTGGTTGTTTGATTCCCTCCTCACTAAAAGAAATTCCATGAGAGCAGGGGCAGTTTTTGGTCTGTTCACCATTTTACACCCAGCACCCAGCCCAGGACCTGACAAAAGGTAGGAACCAGATAAGCAATTAATGCCAGTGGTAACCCCACCTCGTCCGCCCTTTTTCAAAAATCATACTAGAAAAGAAATGATTGAAAGTGATGTTATTATAAGTATACTCTGAATTCCACTCTGATTTATAAAATAAAGGCCATAACACATTCTTAACTATTTAATAATTACTGGGAACAAATTACTCATGACATACCTCCTATCAGATTGCCACACCCCACACATCTGAGCCCTACAGCTTAGAACATCTTGTCAGATCAGTTGCCAAGGGCATGATCTGGACAGGGCATACACCAGAGGGTCAGGGAGCTGGGCAATCCATGTGGACTATAGCTATCAAGGAATACTTCCTGGAGGAGGAGGAGGAGGAGGAGGAGCTTGAACTGCCTCTTGAGCATAGTGAACTGTCCTAGTTGGCCTGGGACAGTTTCTACACTGGTATTTTCAGTGTGATTATATTTATGTTCTTTTTTAACTCTCAAACTGGTTATTGTTTGGAAGATAAGTTGTACAGTTATCTTACCCTGATGGATGTATGAAGAGGGCAGGGAGGCCTCCCGTCCTTCCTCCCTGAGAACACGGAGGCGACCTGCTCCTTCCTCTCCCACTTCGTATGGTTTAGTCTCTTGGTTCTCTTCTGCGCCTCCCTCCCTGTCCAGGGCAGCCTCTTCAGCACGACGGTAGCCCCCAGCACCACCACTGTGCTCAGCGTCCCCACGCTCCATCCTACAGCGCCCAGGTGTTATTCTCATGGTTATTCTCAGCCTCCTATTTTCTCTCCCACCTCTTAGACCTTTTGCTGGTTCCTCCGCATCTCCCCAGCCTCTCTACGTGTTGGAGCCCAGGGCTCAGTCCTTGGGCCTCTCCTCTTCTCTGGGTACATCTACTCCCTGGGCGATCTCGTCCCATCCCATGCCTTTAAATAGTATCTATATGCTAATGATTCCTAAACTTATATTACCAGCCCCGAACTCTCCCCCGAGCCCCAGACCCATATATCCACCTGCCTATCAACAGCTCCACTCATGTGTCTAACAGGCATCTCAGACTTTCCATATCCAAAACCAAACTCCTGATCAGCAGATCTTTGCTCTCGTCATCTGGACCTAGGTAGCTTGTCCGGACACCGGTCAAAAACCTAAGAGTCATGCTTGACTCCTCTCTTTTCCTCATTCTACATCCAGCCATCATCAAGTCCTGTCAATTCTAGCAAGAAAATAAACACTCCAGCTCTTTTCTCTTGTCTCCCCACCATGGTCACTGTCCCTGTCTACGCCACCAGCACCTCCTGCTTGGATAGCTATAAAGGCTCCTCCTCTGGTCCCCTCCACCAGCTCTTACTTCATAGTCCACTCTTCGTACGTTGGTCGAGTCACCTTCCTTACGCAGAGAACCTCGGAGCATCGATGGCTTCTCCCAGCTCTTCCTTCCACACCTACCAGGCTCTGCCTAGTCTGGCCCTGCCACCTCTCCAGCTTTGGTTCTGCCCACTCTCTCTCCCCCACTCCTTGGGCCCCAGATACATCTCCTATCCTGGGGACACTGCATTTCGCTTCTTTCTGCCCAGAGTCATCCATATTTATGAATGATTCATCCTCACACTTCATCCAGATCTTGGCTCAAGAGACATCCCATCATCCTCTCCAGCCCTCCTCCCCCGCACCTGACATGTATGATGCTTGCTGATTTCCACATTGTCTGTTTCTCCTCCTGGCAGGACAGAGGGAAGCACTTGGTCCTGTTCACTCCAGTAACCAGAGTAGTGCCAGGCACATGGAAGAGGTTCAACAAATTACTCTGTGTGAACAATCACCCCTTTGGGGGCACGGGCCTCCATCCCTTGCCTCACTCTTCCGGCCTCACTTTCCTGGTCTTCCCAAGACTCTCAGGCCACCATTCCCCTCTGCTGATCGCTACTCCTCCCCATCACTCGCCTCCTTTGCCCTCAGTGTCCCCAGGCCCTCTCCCACTTCTAAAGCTGCTTCTTCCTCAGTCTCCTGCTCGCTCCGTTTCCCCTCCCTGCCCCTCTGAAGACAGCCAGAGGCCAGGTCTCAACCCTCCGCTCTCACTGCTCCCAATCAGTGCGGCTCAACCGCTGACCGATGAGACCTTGGGACCACGCTCCCTTTCAAGTGCAGCCAGCTCTGGCTTCTGCAGACAGTCTCTCTTACCTTAAGCCTGGAGCCACAGCATGGAAGCAGGGAGCTTGCCAGCCTGCAGGTAGGCTGCCTTCCCTGTGCAGTTGCCTCCAGGGAGGTGAGAACCACTCTTACAGACTCTACAGTCACCTCCAGACTCCACCCTCTCCTGCGTATAGTCTCCCCTCCATCCCATCAGTTCAGTCTGACGTTCACAGATCTGCACTGGATCCCCAGGTCCACCAGTCACAACCTTTAATCATCTAAGCTTAATCTTCCTTTTCCTATTTTCCACCTTTTTCAGGGATAAATCTAGTACTTCAACCAGGTTCCTCCCCTTCCTGCAGCCCTCACTGTTCACCCAGCAGGGATCCCTCCTCTGTGCTTAGGCCACATCGATGGCCTTCACTTTGTCAGGGCACTGACATCACTGCTCCCCCTGCTCATCCGCTCTCAGCCTCGGAAGGGGGAAACACATCCTATTCATCGATGGTCCCCTACAGGCTAAATTCATCGTAACTATGTGAATTGAGACAGAGCTTTCAACAGTGTGTTGGTGAAACACACCATGATGTGCTCTACAAGAAAAGGGAAGGAGAGAAAGGATTGGGAGGGAGGGAGGAAGGGAGGGAGGGAAGGAGAGGGAGGAAAAGAAAAAGGAGAAAAAAAGAAACAAGGGGTCATGGGTTTTATGTTCAAATGATACTATCAATCACCTTCTTAAGTGTTCTCCAGGCACCCTAGGAAATTAAATAATCTGTGAATTCCAGCAGTTAAGAAATCTGTGTATCTCTGTTTCCACCTTTCTTTTCCCAAACAGATCTGACTGTAGAAACCTCTTTCTAGCATTTATCCCCTTTAACAAGACATTCGGGGAAACACTGATTGAAGGCGTAAGAGTCCGGGGCACCTGCAGACACTACGGTGAGCGGCAGTGATGGGGAGGAAGGAAATCGATGTCCAGTTGGGGAATTTGGTCCTTATCCTATAAATGGAGGTTCTCAAACAGGGCACACATGCCCCGGGGTGTGCCCCAGGCACTCGGATTCTCAGGAATGACAGGGCACTGCCTGCATCTCAGAGCATCAATAGTGAAGAGATGTTGGGTGGGAATGAGCCACCGTGCATTGTTACAGTAAAACAACAAACAGACATTTCTTACTGACTAGCACGTAAAGTTTGTGTGCAATTTCCAGCCAAAATGTTGAGTTTGTGTTGGCTGTTTGCTGCTCAGCCCCCCTCCTCTGCTGTTTGGGGTACTTTGGGTGGAAAGTGTGAGCAGCCTGATAAGCAACGGGGGGCCCTTCGGCAGCACCGGTCACGGAGTCCTTGGGATGTTCGAGAGAGGAGCCTGGCAAGGCGCTCAGGATGCGGTAAACAGGGGAGAGAGGTGTAAGAGGATTACCTGGCCATGTCTGGCTGTGAACCAAGCAAGTGGGTAAGGGCATATTCGCCATGCTCCACGACCTGCCACCTGCTGTGGGTGGTGTCCCCATCTATTCCTGACCACACAGCTGTGTTTCTGCACCAGACTCTAGCACCCACAGCCCCAAAATGGGCCTCCAAAAGGGCCCCACCAGATTCAGATCAGGTTCACCTCACATCAGATTTGGGAATCCAGGACCCAGTCTCT